TCACACTTAATGATGCCTCTATAGTTAGCAGTTTCCTTTGTTCTGCTCAGTAAGTGGTTTTCAAAGGGGGTGGGCTAAGAAAGGGAAGAGTCTTGGGGTTTGTAAAATCAAATCATACATGCCTAGTGCACATGCAAAACTTTATGCATTTACATGAATTTCTCTTTAGAAATTAAGTTGCAATTCCTTTTGGAATAAGTTAGGGGGTTCATGTCAGTGACTATAGATGCAACCATAATGACATTACTGTACCTTGGACATCTCTCCAGTGCATTTCCATCGCAGTGAAATGGTAAAATGACAGATTTAATTTTTTTTTAAAATCAGCAAGGAATGTCTTTAACAAGGAAAAGGTAAATTATGATAATTGCTCTGAATGGTTGGATCCTTGAGCATTACTAATTAGCATTTATTGCCTGGATTACAGAACAATGTGTGTGAAACCGAACTGAGATTGCTCTTTTATATCAACGACTGAAAAAAGGCAATGGAGTAAGAATGCAGCAAAGCCAATGTAGCATCCATACTCATTCTACTGTCTCCCCTTCATACACCAGGGTTCTGGCTCTTCAGCAATATAAATACATAGTGAAGGCGAGACTCTTACTATTCATAGCCCATTCATTGAATAGTTGGAGCACAGATTTGTAAGTAAAGGCACGAATGCGGATTGGATAATTAGGATGACAGGGGTGGGGGAAATGGCATTCTCTCCAAAATGTTGGTTTTTTGTTTGTTTGTTTTGTTTTGTTTTTAGGAGCGGTAGGAAGAGAAAAATCCTGAAAGTTAAAAAAATGAAGAGTATTGGAATCTGCTTGATTTAGGTATCATTCAGTTGTTCTGGATGTGCTTTGATTGCATGGTTAAACAAAGAACTTAGCTCTAATGAACGCCTGCATTAAACTTAAATAAGACTTGAAAATCACGCCTCAAATCAGATATGATTTTCTTTCAGATGGGTTACAAATGAAAATCATTTAAGATACTAGTTTCCAGGACAAGTTTCCTTTTTCATTTAGGAGTTTACAATGGAAGAGACTCTGGAATTAGAAATCAATTAGGAATTAATCAGCAGACCAACACCAGCCACTTAATTATATGTCACTCATATAATTTGGCAATTTGGATACATGAATCCTAAATAACTTGGCAGGTATTACATAGAGGATGGGAGGAAAAATAAGAATGAACTCTTCTTAATGTATTCTTATATGTCCTTAACCATGGACTGTGATAGCAAGTAGAAAAAAACAGAGCATCATAGAATTTTAGAGCTGGCACTCGATACAATCACTCTTCTTCCCACCAGTCTCCATCCTTTCCCTACCCTTGGTTCCTTTTAGGTTGAAAGAATAAGTTTGAGTAAATCTATGAAGAGCTTAAACAGGCTGGTGAAAAAAATTAATTCTGCTGAATGAGCAAATGCATTTGGAATGCAGAGATGCAAATAAGATAATACTTTTCTTGCCTTTCTACATACTAGACGGATTAGCTTAGAATGTTAAATTTGATTTTATTAGAATATATTAACAATGTTTTAATTAATACTAATCAAATTTCTCTTTCCCCAGGGCTTGGTGTGTTCCCAACACTAATCATCTGTCTTTTGGGGAGGGGAGCAAAAAATTAAAAACAACACCCCAAAAATTAATGTAATAACTAAGGACTTTCATATATTCCTCATAATTATCCTGCAGGCAAAGGAAAACCATGAGCTTTTCATCCAATATAGCTGCATCTAGTTCTCATGCGTTCTGGATTTAAAGGCACTGTTATGTTTGTCAGTTCTCAATAAAAGCAAAATTACTGCCTTGAGAAATGAAAATATTCTATCATTTTCTTTGGGGGAGGAAAACCTCATGTTGCAGGAAAGGTTGCTGGCTAGTTGGCATTATTTTTAATTCTCTCTGGAGCTCTGCAGGACAATTATATTTTCAACTGTACTGGTTGTGAGATGGCACCTCTTTGGTGACAGAGACCAAAAAAAAAAAAAGACTTGAGTTAAAACATGGTGAACGGGTGTCCCCTGTGAACCGAATTGTAAGTGTGTGGTGCACTGCATTTCTCTTATTATTCCCTCCTTTTCTCTCAAGCTTCCTGTTCTTCTGCATCCAAAAGCTCCAGTTCAGTTCTTTCTCTGCACACCCCACCATTCCCCGCCTTTTTTTTTTTTTATCTGCCAAGCTGGATTTGCACTTTTAAAGATCAGTATCAATAAGGCCCGGCTTGTTTCGGTTGCACTCTCCCTTTAAAAGACAGCCCCCTCTAATTGATGCGTCTGGGCTAGTCTAGACTGGTAGTGATTGAACCAACTACCAATTATGTTATTCATTTCACTGAACTTCACTGATGGGCTCCGTGAAGGAGAAGGGGTGTCGAGAAACCTGCCCCTGCAGTGAGGCAGTTCCCTGCTGCTGAAATAGAAAATCCTATGCGTCGCTATGCACTGCCAAATGCCTATATGATCAATTGTACAAGAGCAGCCTCAGTATACCAGACGTCTAGTTGAAAGTGTGTTTCGAGGGGGAGGGAGAAACAGAAAGATTTTTAATGCAACCCATCTCATTAGATTAATTTTTCCTACAAACATCTTACATTCCATCAGGATTATATTCTACGTAGTTACATAGGCATCTTTTATGTGCATATATTTTCATAGAATCTGATGAGTTATATAGCCCCTGGAAAAAGGGCACCTTATATTTTCTACATACTTTATATACATCATGTGCCAACATATGCCCATAATTTGAATAGATTGCCTTTATAGACATCAGAGACCTGTGCCTAAACAAATTAGGTAAAATACAAAAATAACCGCCATCCATTGTTGTTCAAAGCAAAGAATCCTTTAAAATTAAATATCTCCTGTCCTTTTAGACTCATTTAAGACCATTAAAGACTGGAAAGCGTTATTTAAAATCACGCTACTTTCACAGCAGATTTCAACAAAAGATATTCTTCAATTATAGCCCAGTAAATCTTTCCAGTTCAGTGTTCTGATACAAAATGGTCTCTCGACTACCATTTGGATTCGATGACAAAAAAAAATGCAATAAACACATATTTTACAGGAAAAGAACAGTCTCCTTACCCTTTGATCATAGATATAAAATAACCACACAACTGATAGAAAGGATTCAGAAGGAGAAAGCTTTTGCAGTCAAAGGTTGGTTCGGATTTAAATCTTTCCTTTTCCGTAAACAGGAGGCAAATACTCTCGCAGGGTCACTTTAACTGCTTTAATTAAATTGTATATCATTAGGCGTTCAAAATAGAAAGGTAAGTTACTGTTCTTATTCTTGGGCTGTGAGATTTAGCTAAACCACTGAAAATGCCCTGTAAGGGGAAAAAAAAAAGTTACCTTTTCAGAATACTAAGAACTAGGTAGCGTTATCAAATAATCTCGGATAAATATGAAGAGTTTTTTTGGTTATAAGTTACTTTTTGTGAAATTTAGCCTTGAGCGAGGACAATTTTTCTCCCATTTTGAAGGATACTCGTGGAGAAATATAGTAGCTTTGTTTTTTAACTGTTAATCTGGATACACCTGGGAAACACAATTCCAACCTTCACTACTTTTAATCCCATTAGGCTTTGTCATTTTTTTTTAATCACTAAAGTACATTAGTTTTTTTTTTCTTTTTTCCATTTTAGCTCTGGTCCCATCTCCCCACCCCTTAAAAAGCCTTTCATGGTAGCACACAAATCAGGTCTATTAACACTCCCAACTCATATCCTCCCAGCCGAACAGCACGAAGAGTATTTTGAACCCAATCAATCTGTCATTTTGGATTGCAATCTCAGCCCAAGGAATGGTTTTGACACCGATATATGGATGCATGTGTGCACATGCATCTATATGTATCACATATATATATTCATGCATACATTTTAATTGGGCATAAATCTAAGATTAACTGTTCAGTTTCAAACTTGGAGGCATGGGGCATGCTGGGACTTCAGCTGAGATGTTCTGAGGTCAAGCACCAGGGTACTGAGCTGTTCTTGTTACGCTCTGATAGTACTGTGTGTTGCTCTCAAGGAAAAGAAAATGTAGGTAGATGATCTCCACCAGCCTCAGACATAAAATTTATATGTATATAGATATATCGAGAGAGAGAGAGAGAGAGAGAGAGAGAGATACATCTATATACATATGATCGTGCCTCCTGGATATTATAATAGCACATACGTACACACTTTAACAAAAACAAAAGAAAATATATAATCTGCCACCTTCTAGTCACCTGATTTCTAACAATGAGAACTCTAGAGATCCACTCATCTATTTCGCTCAAAGTTTCTTTCCTTTTGTGTTTGCTTAAAAACAAACAGAAAAAAAAAGTTCCACCAAATATCCCAGATGCAAAGGCACAACTCACAGCTCCCAAGAGCCTAACCCGTGGATTTAAACGGTAAACATCACAAGTTAGGGTCTCAGGGATTGAGAGGGGCGCAACAGACATTCCTTTCTTGAGAAGAAAAAAGAAAACCTCAAACAAGAATGACAGGCAAATTCTGCTCAAGGTTCATGGCTAAAATACAATGAACAGGTGGAAAGACATCTTCTCTTTGAGCCCCTGCTGTTAAAAAATGCACATTCCATTTACTTGAAGATATAGGCATATGTGTAAAGACCTCTGCACACATGTTAGCATGCTCATATACATACCTGAACACAAAACCATGACCAAATAGCAGACTCTCTCACGCTTTGGTTTACTAAAATGGAAAATACAGGAACATTTCTGGAAACATCTCTGTCTCTCTTATTTTTTTTAATGATTATAAAAAGGATTGGTCATATGTCAAAGCTTTAACTTAATTTTAATTAGGAAAGAATTAAATATAAAGAAAATTTAAGGCATCCCTCTCCTCCATTGGAGGCAGAGAGCCAGGCAAAATCAGACAGACCAGATTTTAGGAAAAAGAGAGCCTGAGAAGCGGCAGTTTAGAGCTTATGAAAGTGTGAATAAGAATATCGTGTAGAAACTCACCCATTTGGAGTATCCAGGGGCTTCAGCCTTCAGGAACAGCAGCCAAAAGAGGTGGGAAGGGAACAGGAGGTAGCCAGGGTGAGGAATTTCAATGGAGAGGAACAGGGACAGGGCTGAGGCTGGCGTGGGGAATATTACCTTACGTCTATCGTTCTGCAGTTTGCAGTTTGACATAAGAAGAGGAAAAAAAGCAAAGGCGGGTAGGGGGTACAAAACGGCCAACTGCATTTTTAAAAACTGTTCAGCCAAAATCTCCATAGAGAGGGGGGGAAAAAAAGGCTAAAACTCTCAACAGCTGCTTTTTTCCCCTTCCTTCTTTCTCTCTAGTGTCCACTTTGCGAGTCCGGCAAACTGCGGCCTCCTCTGCATCAGCTGCTTGGTGAAAGCCAAGGCCAAATTAACTAGAGTCTGTCATTTGGGAGACATAGAGTGAGGCATGGCTGGGGGTGGGGTGGGGGGGTCAAAGTGTAGAAGGGAAAGGAAAGCAGGAGAGACATCGGGGATCCTTTGAATTCTCCTGCCGACATTTCAGGGAGAACCTGAAGCATCACCCACCCCCTTCCATCCTGGATGACAGCTACTGTTATTTTCTTTCCCCCCTCTTACTGTGAGATGATCTTTCCTGTGCTGAAAAGCTTCCTGCGCAGCCTCCAAAAATAAGACTACTCAGAGGAGGGGAGGGGAAAGGGTGGAGGAAGAGAACTCTTCGATTTCTCCTTATTTTTCTTTCTTTCTCCCTCCCTCCCTAGCCCTCTTCTCTTTTCCCTCTTTTCCTTCTTTCTTTTCTTCTTTCTCTTTCTTTCTGTAACATTTAGGCCTCAGCAAGGTGAATGTCTGGTTGGTCGAAGATGACAAAGCAGTTGCATCGAAAAGGAAACTCACAGAGGCCCTGAGCTCTCAGTAAAAATGTGAAATATTATCCATTCATTTCCTTATGCAGCTGAAAACATTTAAAGCCCCAGGCTCTCTACTTCTCTACCCAACCTCCTCTCCTTTTATTTTTTTAGTAGAAACAGACAAACAATACAGCCACATTATATCTCTCTACTTCTCTCCGCTACATTCATGAACTGTGTATTTTACCTCCCTCTTCCCCCCCCTTTTTTCTCACCTCTGTAGGTTCCCTTCAAGCCAAAATCCTCTGTCCAGAGTCTCTCCTTCTTCTCTCTCCTTTCCTTCTTCCTCTTCCTCTTAGAAAAGCCAGTCCGTCATCACTATACCTAGTCTCTCTCTCTCTCTCTCCCTCTCACACACACACTGTCTCTCAACCTCCCTCCCTTTCTCTTTAAAAAAAAATTTTTTTAAAGGCTCTTTAGACACAGCAGCATGAAGTGGCTGCCTTTGAGAAAGCACATTTAATCTTTACTGGCTCCCCTAGGTTTCAGTGAAGAAGAAGACGAGGGAGGAAAAAAGAGAGAGAGGGAGAGGGAGGGAGAGAGAGAGAGAGAGAGAGAGAGAGAGAGAGAGAGAGAGAGAGAGAGAGAGAGAGAGAGAGAGAGAGAGAGAGAGAGAGAGAGAGAGAAAGATTGTAAGGGAGGCTGCTGACGGACAGCAAGCATCAGGCACAAATCAGCGACGAGTTGAAATTTCCTAGACCACACTGCCCCCTTTCTTCTCTTCCCTCACACTCAGCTCCTGGAAAGCCAGAGTGTCTGGTTACAGGAGGTTTGGGGTCTCCTTTTGCCAACCATCATACAGATTCCTTGCATGCCTGCTTAAATCTCTAGTAGAATAAGGAATCAATATCCCTCTCTAATCACCTTTAGCTCTTCTATGGGTTTCTCCCCCCACCCCGAGAATACAGTCCCTCCCCCCTCCCCCATTTTCTCCCCCCTCCCTGTTAGGCTCATATACAAAGCTGCAGTACTGTTATTTCTCACTTCCTTCCATATCTTGGAGACAAGGGCTGGAATCAAGCGTCTCTTTTAACATTCTCTCTCTCTCTCTCTCTCTCTCTCTTCTCTCTCTCTCTCTCCTCTCTCTCTCTCTCTCTCTCTCTCTCTCTCTCTCTCTCTCTCTTTCTCTCCTCTCTCCTCTCTCTTCCCTGTCTCATCCCTGATTCTCAGCACCGGATGCACTAAAGCATTTCCTTGACTACTAATGAGACCCAAAATACCCCACCAGGTCAGGGGGAAGGCCAGACACTGTATTATACAAATAAAAAAAATTCTCAGACTGCTAGACACATAGATCAGGTATCACATTCTCTAAAAGAAAAGCGGAGGTGGGAGGAGAAAAGAGAAATGGAAGGGAGGAAGAAGGAGATTCAGAATAGTACAGGTCTCCCCTAATTGCTTCACACCCTGTGTGAATTTATTTTTTTTAAATCAAGATATAATTTATTTGGGGGTGTTTTGTTTTCATGCAAAGTCAACAGTACCCAAGCAATTCTTTGAACCTAGCATCTTTGAGGTTGAAATAGCAACACTTCAAGTCTACATTTAAAAAAAAATACAGACACTTCTCAGGCGTTTGATGACTTCAAAGCTAAAAATCTCCCCTCTCTTTTCAATGGCTGGGTTGCCACTTACTGACTATATTTGCAATATGTGCTAATTTACCACTTATGCCCTTGGATTTGGGAATGAACTCATCAGTCACTGTGTCTCCTTCTCATGCTTCCCTTCCACTGCAGGGATTCTCCTTATTCCTGAAGCGTTTCCCTATCAAATGTCCGTCAGATACATACACACTTCATTGATCAGCCTAAAGTCCCTTGATAATGATAAATAATAATTCAGATGGAAGGGGGAAGAAGAGGAGAGAGGGAGGAGAGAGAGAGAGAGAGAGAGAGAGAGAGAGAGAGAGAGAGAGAGAGAGAGAGAGAGAGAGAGAGAGAATGAGTTGACTAACAGAGCATTTCCTCAACCTTCTGCTGGCGCCCATTTTAAGGGCTCTGCTAAACAATGAAACATTAAGACAGGTAATCTCCCCCCATTTGGGCTTTCTACCTATCCACAGTCATAGTGGGTATATTGCTATCCTGACCCAATTTTCCTGATCTAGTCTTGCTATGCTATGTATAACACCCAGTTCTGCAAATAGCAAGGAAGGAGGGGGCATCTGGGGATGCAGGTTTTCTCCTAAGTCTACGTTTTTAAAGGTAGGTTCTTTGTGCCTCACTCATACATTGTGCTTTGTCTCTGGTTGGGAGACTTACAAAAACTCGGTTGATTGCCAAGGAAAAGGAAAGACACAAGTGTGTGGTGTGTGTGTGTGTGTGTGTGTGTGTGTGAGTGTGAGCGTGTGTGTGTGTGTGTGTGTGTGTGTGTGTGTGAGAGAGAGAGAGAGAGAGAGAGAGAGAGAGAGAGAGAGAGCGCAACAGTCATAGCAATTGGGGTTCCTTTAAAATTTTTCCAGTGGGGAGGAGAAATGAGTGGTTGCCAGGGGCTGGTGACTGTGCCGGAGTCCCTTTTCAGATCTGGCCAGCCGGGTGTTGGCACTGGCCTGGCAGAGAAAAGGAGAAATGTGTTTTAAAAAAAAAGTCACAACGGGTGGAGCTGTCAAAAAAAAAAACTTGACTCACTGGGGTGCCTCCCTATAACACCAAAATTAATCATCCTAAAAAAAAACCTGGTCATCAGCTGTTTTAGTGTACTCTGTGTCTGAAGGCCAGCCTGTGGGAATCAGATACCTATGCCCACCTTTGATTAGGAAAAGTGAAAGGGAAAATGTGATTTCCTGAGCCCTTCCTAGAGGTGTCTTAGTGATGCTCCTGGGTATACCTTTTCAGCACTGGGTTTGGCGTAAGTTTCACATGCTAAGCCTATGTTCACTTTATACAGCGACACACATAGACACACATGACTTATGAAAGTTTTGCTATGAACACATCATTTTCTTTATACAACTCAGTGATGTCTTTGGAGGATACTTATTTCAAGCAGTTAACACCTGACCCCAATTTCTGTGGGTAATTAGTGAGCTAGATAACCACACAAAATGGGTAATTATTTAGTACCCAAGGGTACACTAGAAGTGGGTAGTCGCTTTTTTAACAAAAGCACATCTCTAATTATTGTATCTATGATGAGGTGTTTTTAAAATTCCAGTTACTATATCAAGTGAACCATGATGAATAAGTAAACTGTTTTGCTGGTCTTTGCATATACAGTATACACAGTCCATCATGAGTAATAATGCTTACCTACCTCAGAGGGGTGGTGTGAAGATTAATTGGCTAGCATCTCTAAGGCTCTCAAGATGAAAAGTGCTAGATAGCTGCTAAATGCTGCATTATTATTACTAGTATTATTATCATTGTTATATTCCTGGTTAATAATCCCAGGGTGGAGGAGGCTGGGGGAGAGTATGCAGTTATATGTGGTAAGTACTTATTTGGAAATCTGCTGAGATGATAAAGTCAATCAGTCAGTCGGTCAACAAGCATTTATTAATTACTTACTATGTACCAGGCACTGTGGTTAGTGCTGGGGATACAAAATTGGCAAAAGAAAATCCCCCCCCCCCGTTTCAGGGTAGGGATGTAACACAACTAAAAAATCCCAATCTAGCGTGCCGTAATCTTGCAGACAGGTAATTTCTATTCTGTTGAAAGCTAGCCAGGAAACAGGGGTTTAGGCATAAGAGTCCGAGAAAAGAAAAGGGCCTTCTCTGGGCAAGACCATGAAGCTGGATCAGTGTGAGTCCCTAGTAAACCCACCTTCCAGAAGTAATAGTCACTTATTTTAATGAGCAACAAATAGATGTACAAATTTTAAAAAAAAAGATAAATAAATGAATAAAGTCTATGCCAATTCTGGAGCAGATTCAGCACAATTACAATCAATCAGCTGGGTACAGAGTATGCTGAAGAACCATGCACTCAAATCGTTTTAACAAATGCAGATACATTTAAAAATATTACAATGCTGAGAATAGATACAAGCACACACACACACACACACACACACACACACACACACTCGTTGGATGTCCTTAGCTTAGGATATGATCAGCAATGAAGAGGCACTTTCTTATTTAAATGCTTTTGTGAATCACCACTAGTATTCGGGGGTATTATTTATTGGCGCTGCAGAAAACAGCTTGCGAAGGATCCCAACTCAGGAGACCTAAGTCTGGCATAATACCTAATGTCCTCCCCCTTAACCACCAACACCCCCTCAAAAAAGAAAAACCTATCCTCTTTGTACTGGGTGGAGGGGGTGGGGCAGGAGCAGGACCAGGGGAGGCCCCTCTAACACCAGTCCTCCAGCCCTCTCACAGGGTTCACCACATTTTTTCTTTCAGTATAAGGTTGTCCTGGATGGGGATTAGCCCTAGGGGTGTGGGAGGTATGGAGAATTTGGGAAGGGTGAAAGCAAACATGAAAAGGGATTTTATTTAGACACTGATATTTGCTCCTGGGGAGGTGGGGAGGGAAAGGACTCTATTTATCACAGGTTTCCAAAGTGAACCACTGTAGGACCACTGTTCTAGGATTTGTCCCGACAGAATCAAGCACAAGGCCCATATACAAGCGGTGTGCATTAGTGCTGACCTGTAGCTGGAGGAGAGCGCTTCAAAGTCTGCGTATGATGGAGTGCATGGGGGAGGGGAGTAGTCGGGAGAAGGAGAAAGGGGAGAAAGATGGAATGAAACAGGGTGGGGAGAGATTTCTCCTCAGCTCTTGGACCCTGACTTGAAGTATGGTATCTGTTACCCCCCCTGTCTCTGAGCTCAGAGCTACAAAAGCTGACTGGCATTCCCAAACCCGCCCA